TATTCAGTACTCTTTTCCAACACCAAATTTTAAATACATCACTTATTTCTCTATTATCTTTAATTATTGCCCAGCTCTGACCAGTATAGCAAGTAATTGAAAAATACATAGCCCAAATCAGGTCTACCTTAGTCCTCAAACTAATACAATTGTTCCTCAATAATTTAGAGAGGTCCCTAGCTGCAGAATTTCCCAGTACAATATATCTGCTGATCTCCTGATTGCTGGACTGTTGTTGACTGTGGATTAAAGGTAGATGAAGTTGTCGACAGGTTCAATCTTTTCTCCACCTGTCGTGGTGTTGCTTATCAAACCAGTGAAAAGGATTTTTGCTTTCTCGATGTTGGAATGTAATCCATATTGAAGGCTGTATTCTTTAATCTGTGCAGCAAGTGCTTCAAGTCCTCCTCACTCTCAGCAAGCAAAGTTGTGTCATTTGCATACCAAAGGTTATTGACGAGTCCTTCTCTGATTCTGATATCATATTCTTCTTCATAAATTCCAGCTTTTTCAATAATTTTCTCAACATACAGATTGAATAGGTATGGAGAAAAAATACAATCTTAATCCACACTTTTCTTAATTTTAAACCAAGTAGTGTTTCCTTGCTTTGCTGGCAAATCTCTGTTAGAGAGATGCAAATTGAAACAACAGTAAGATATCATTTTACCTCATCTTACCATATGTTGTTGTTAGGTAGATGTCACTGAGTCGAGCATGACTCATAGCAACTCTGTGAACAAAAGATCTGAACACTATTCTGTCCTATGCCATCCTCACACTTTCTGACACATAAGATCCCACTGCAGTAGTCATCATGTCAGTCCACCTAGTTGAGAGTCTTCCTCTCCATCGCTGACCTCCCACCATTTCCAATATTATGTTCCTCTCCAAGAAAGAGCACCTCCTAGCAACATGTCCAAAGTATGTATCTTCATCATTCTTGCCTCCAAAAGCACTCCGGCTGCACCCTCTCTAAAACATATCTGTTTGTTCTCTTGGTCATCCATGGGATGTTCAGTGCTCTTTTCCAACACCACAGCTCAAAGGCAGCAATTCTTATTCTGTCATCCTTATTCATTGTCCATGTCTCAGATGTTCAGGTAGTAATTCAAAAGACTATGGTCTGAATCAGACACATCCTCAAACTGACATCAGTACTCCTTCATAACTTGGAAAGGTCACTAACTGCAGATTTTCCCAGTGCAATCCATCTCCTTATTTCCTGTCTGCTCATACTAAGGGTGTTAATTATGGATCGAAGGAAACTGAAGCTGTTGACAGTGTCCATCTCCTCTCCATCCATCATGATACTGTCTATTGGTCTAGTGCTAAGAATCTTTGTTTTCTTGATATTGAGATGCAATCCATACTGAAGGCTGCATTCCTTGAAATTCTGCCACAAGTCTTTAAAGTCCTCCTCACTTTCAGCAAACAAGGTTGTGTCATCTGCATAATGTGGGTTATTGATGAGTATCCCTCCAATCCTGATGCCACATTCATACATAGAGTGCAGCTTCTTGGATAATTTTCTCAGCATAAAGATTGAACAGGTATGGAGACAGAATATAACCCTTACACACTTCCTTCCCAATCCCCAACCATGAAGTCTTCCCCTGCTCTGTTCACATACAGCCAGGTATAGATTCAACAGGAGCAAAATCAAGTGCTCTGAGATTCCCATTTTTCTCAATGTCAGCCACAACTTATCATGATTCACACAGTCAAACACCTTTGCATAGTCAATAAAGCACAAATAGACAATCTCCTGGTTTTCATGATTTTCAGCCAGGATCCATCTGACATCAGCAATGGTGTCATGGCCTCTTCTAAATCCTGCTTGAACTTCTGGTGGTTCCTTATCTATATACTGTTCCAGCCATTTTTTAATGATTTTCACCAGTATTTTGCTTGCATGTGATATCAGTGATATTGTTCAATAATTTCCACACTCAGTTGGATCACCTTTCTTGGGAATGGGAACAAATATGAACCTCTTCCAATCTATTGGCCAGACAGCTATCCTCCAAATTTCCTGGCATAGACTGGTGAGTGCATCCAAGCCTACATCTGCTAGTCAACTAGTATCCCATCTTTGCCATTGGTGTGTCAAATTCCAAAAGGGTTTTCCGTTGTGGATGGGTTTTGGTTGAGCTCCCTGATTAACACAGAGAAGGAAGCAGGATGGGCCATCTACTTCCTAAATAAAAGGCTTTTAAAAATCCTTTTAAAAATAAAAGGCTTTTAAAAAATCCAAACGAAGAGGATAGTTAACGTAGAGTAGTGATAGAGCCCAGATTTGTAATCAGTTGAAATCTTACCATATATTACTAGGTATATTTCTAAAAGATAGAGAGCTGTGACATAGATATATGTGCATTCATATTCATAGCAACATCACAATAACAAGAAGGTGGAAACAAGTGTATATCAATGGGCAAATCCATAAGCAAACTGTGGTAATACATACAATGACATACTGTATAACTGTTAAAGACATCTAAAAAAAACATCTCATAGCATGAATGAGACTGGAGGATATGGTGGCAAAATTAGTCAATCACAAAAGGACAAGTATTTAATGAAACTACTACTTAAAAAAAGAAGCAGAAGTGGCATCCACTTCCTAAATAACATGCCTCCAGAAACTCTGTGAACTTTCCTAAATGTTGATAGTTTTAGAGGGGCTTCATGCCTTTTGTTCATAGGATTGCTATGAGTTGTGTTCGACTAGAAGGAATTCAACAACTACATATAAAAATAATTTAAAGGGTTTATATACTTAAACATTCTTTGAAGCTTATCAGGAGTAGTAGAGGAAAGGAAGGAAAAATCATTAACTAAAAGGTAGACAAATATTCATTGGGTTCAGAATAAAAGCAATATATAATAGGAGGAGATCAGCGCAAAATTATCAAGGCAAATGCAAACATTGGGCAGAGCACACAATGATTAAAGACAATGCATATAAACACTAACGCATACCCAACTCTGCCATAATAATAATAATAATATATGAGTGAACAAATAGAAAATACATGCAAGTTGAACAGGATTAAGAAGGCAAATGGGCCTGTACTTGTACATATACATAAGTCTTACAGAGGATTTTTCTATATATGTATTTTTATGCACTTCAAATATATCACCTATGAATTGAGTAGAGGATGCAGAGGGAAAAAGAGGACTGGTGGTATAATGCGTTACATATTATTCAGCTAACCAAAAGGTTTGTGATTCAAATCCACCAACTGCTCCATGGGGAGGGGTAAGGGTGGGAGAGAAATAAGCTATCTACTCCCATTAAAATTCATGGCCTCAGAAACCTAATGGAGGGTCAGAGTCAGATGTAACTTGAAAGAACTGGCTTGAGTTGGTTTTACGGAGGTAAAGTTTTGAAAGCTTCTTAGCTAAACTAAACATCTCTTGAGCCTGTGGATCCATGACCAGAATCTCAGGGTACAGTGGGCTCAACTGGCACTATATAGTCCACAAAGATAATGTTCAATATCTCACCCTGAAGAGCAGAAACTAGGGTTTTCTAATCAGTCATCTAAATTGCAGCTATTGGTCTCTCCTTCATTGGAATTAAGAAGAGTAAAGAAAATCAAAGACGCAAGGAAAAATTAGTCTGAAGAACTAATAAACTGTGTGAAACCATCCCAACCTTCATAATTCTAAGACCAAAAGAACAAGATGGGGCCCAGATACCACTGCCAATTTCTCTCAAAGGAATCACAACAGGAGGTCCTAGATTGAGTGGACGGAAAGGGTGAAATAAACCTGAAAGTAATAGTAATAAAAAGACTAGTCTTTCAAGTCTAATAGAGACTATAGCTCTTAATCACACTTTAACCCTTTAAGCTCCCCTGTGGCTCAATTTGAAGATATATACAAGGTTTATAAACTGACTCATAACAGGAAGGTAAGAATCCTCTAGAACACCTAACAAACAAGATCACAAGGACAGCACCTGCCTGAGGACAAAGCTCAGAAGGCAAGAAGGGATCAGATAGAAAGATGAATAGAAATAGCAAACACAGGAAGGAAGTGGATCTAGTACCCTTATATTGTAGGAATTATAGTCAATGTCAAGAGAAAAATATGGGGTTTGTTGAATAGAAAAATCAGTTATCTTTAAAACTGTCACCCAAATCACAGGAAAAGTTAATGATATACATTTTTTTCTTGCATGTTAAGTTGATTAGTCCTTTCTACTTTTGAAAAGCTGGACATTTTTTAAGCTCAGGCTTTTTTTCAGGATTTGTGACTAAAATAGGGAAATAAGTGAGCTATATGTAATTATTTGGACTTTTATTTATCAGAGATATTTTGATTTTTCAGCACTGGAGCACAGAAATTTAGAAGGCACATTGGCCTCTAGGAATTCACAGTGATTTGGGGATCGCTCATGTCGTTTTTGAATGTAGAAGATGAAGCAAACATTCATAACATTAATAATCACCTAAGCTAATCTTAACCTGCATCCTCACCTCCCTTGTTGACTGTTCCCTTCTTCTGGTCTCCCGCTCAAGATAGAGAGACCTTCCAGCTAGCTGGTCAGCCTTGCCTTTTAGGTCAGTATGGAAGGAAAGAGATCCCTGGTAGTAGCTCCATAGTCATCCTCCCTTGCCAAGTTTCACTCATCTTGAATTTTTCATTGGATTGCAGAAGCAACTCAGCAAGTTCAAGAGATCACTGATCAGTTTTTTGAAAAATCATTATATCATACACTTCAAACTATTTCTTCTGTTTTACTCTGTAGTGACAGATTTAAAAGTTACCGAAATGCCAGTGATACCTAATTTTGTTGATTTGTTAGAGAAACAATAATCTTCTAAGGTAAATGTAGACAGTAAAACTTTCTAAGGATCCCTTTCCTGAGACTGGCTAAAAAGTAAATGCAAACATGCCAACATAATCCCTCTTTTCATCATAAAAATAGTTACAGCAAAATGGAAATGATCATTAGAAGTGACACTCAACCTGCCGTATAGTACCTGACCATAAGCTCGACCCCCTGGGTATGAATTCTCTTTGAAGAATATGAGTTGGCTGATATAACATGGATTCTGAACGACTGTCCCAGTAGCACTCAGTTCAGGAAGGTCACCAGGTAAGTGAACAAAGGCAGAGCCAACCCTCTGTATGGTGCTTTGATGGCTGTAATGAAGGCAGACCTGGAATTCCATCTCTTTAGTGTCAATGTGAAGTTGAGGTTCACTGCTTGCAGACAGAGAGCTCTGAAACAAAAAGCATGACAGACTCAAGCATATGCAAGACAGGTAAAATTTTTTGAAGCCAGGACCAGGGAGGAGTGGAAAATAATTGAAAATACAAATCTACTGTACACCAAACTCATTGTCATTGAATGGATTCTGAATCATCATGACCCTTTAAGACAGTGAAGCTGTCTCATAGAGACCCCAAGGCTATAACTCTCCATAGGAGTATATTTTTCCCAAACAATTTATGGTAAATTTGAACCACCAAGCTTTCAGATAGAACAAAGTTCATCCCACTATACTATCAGAGCTCCTACTAATTAAAAAGATATTCAGTTTTATATAAATTTGGATTTATATGAGTGAGGAAAAATTTTTGTATAATGATATTGTTGTTATGTGCCACTGTGTCACTTGCAACTCATAGCAACCCAATGTACAACAGCTCTCAACCCTGCTTTATAATCCCAAATAACAGTAAAATACAGACTGTTGCCTTTTCTTTCTACTCTTTCTGAAAATATTTTTTAAACATTTTTGTATTAATATTGCTTTGCTTACAAAGTTCATATACATTTGGTTTCATACAATCCTTCTCATGCATTGATATTGGTGTTCATTGCCTTGCAGTCTAGCACGACTCATAGCAACCCTTTGAAGAAAAGGCCTGAAGCCCCTCTACAACTATCAACATTTACCAAAGATCATAGAGCTTCCAGAGGTATGTTATTTAGGAAGTGGGTGCCAGTCCTGCTTCCAAACATGAATTACATTTTATAAAATTGGACTTTGCCTATTATTACCCTGTCTTTTAAGGCCATTCCCATTTCCTTTTATTCTCTTCTGTTTTTACAACATTGGTCTTATGTAGTATTTGTCCTTTTGAGACTGAATAACATGCTGTGTGTTGCAGGAACTTATTATATTGTTACTTCTAAAAATGGATTATAAATATTAGTTATTTCCTCAGAGAGAGAAATACATTTGCCTTTCTATGAGTGGGAAAGAAAATTTAAAAACCCACAACAACTCACTAACAATAAGTCCGAGATGACTTTAATTCCTTCCTCTTGCAGATAGTCTACATTCCTTGATTTTCCTTGGTTCAATCGCTCCAAGACTCCAGATACAAGGGAGACAAGCTCTGATACAAATTGTATATCAATGATAAGCCTCTCAGACAGCCGGCTGTGAGCAAGGACCCTCCGAGTGTATTTGAGGATGAGCACTGCACTCCTGAAGGATAACTATGTCACAAAAAAAAAAGAGTAAGTGAAAAATTTCATCAGACATATGCTTATACTGTGACTCTATATTACTGGCAATAAAGAAGAAAGTAAGGTCTCTTTATTATGTTAACATTAATGAACATACAGTTCAAGAGGAATTTGAGATGCTCCCACCCGAGGCCCTACTCCCACCAAGCCCCCAGGTGGGAGCGATAGGCCACTGCCCCACCTTGTGGAGACAACTGTTCCACAACATGGAGACAACCTCACTGCCATTCCTCTGTCCTGCACCAGGAGCACCAATATCACAGGTAAAAACATTTCTTTTTTTAACACCACATCACTACACCCGCACATCTCAGATCCAGTACTTGAGCTGTGGGCCTTTTGCACCCTGCCTAGCTGCAGCAGTAGCCTGGCAAAGAAAACTGCTAATTCTAGGCCATCTCCCTCTCAAACGTTAGCAAGTCTTCCTTGAGTCAAAGGATCAGAGAGAAATTCAGGCAGGGTGGGCTTCCCTTCTCTCCTCTGGAGCAATGAACTCCTGAGCCAAGGTTATCAGACCAAGGGCCTCCTAAGGCCTAAGGCATGAAAAACTCTACCACAGCAATGACACAGAAGAAGCAGACTACTTCACACCCTACACAAAACCAAAACAAGATGTTATCCAAAACCAGTGATCAAAACAGAGAATCCATGGATTTTCTGAAGCCAGGAAGTCTGATTTAATTTTCTTACACAGAATTCAAAACAACAATTATAGAATATATTCAAAGGGTAAAAGACAAACTCAAAGAATTACAGGATTCTGCAAGCAAAAGTCAAAAGGTACTTAAAAAAACACCAAACAAACACAAAACAAAAACAACAATCCAAGAAAATGCAAATAAAAGAGCTATGGTGGCCTAGTGGAAAGAAGCTATGCTGAAATCAAGAAGACTACTGGGAATACACCCTAAACAAACCTTAACTGTCACCCAAACAGATACATGCACAGCTATGTTTATTTCGGCTTTGTTCACAGTAGCAAAGAGTTGGAAACAACCCAAATGCCCATCAACAAATGAATGGATAGAGAAGCTGTTATATATTATGGAATATTATACTGCATTGAAAAACAAGGGACTCACGAAATATTACACAAAATGGCTGACCCTGGAGGACATTATGCTAAGTGAAATATCTCAGTCACAAAAAGACAAATACGGTATATTGCCAGTATTATAAAAGAGGATTGACAGAGGGGTTGGGGAGACTGAGAAAGAATGGATAAATAATCTGCATTGAAACAGATGAGGCAGAGAACTGTTTAAAAAGGATATATTATTAGAGATTCTTGTTATGGTTGGTGTCCAGAATAAAGGAGAGCATCTGGTAGATTTGAGCCATGCACCACTGGGATTGCAGTGCAGCTTCCTGCCACTAGGCCACCAGAGCTTCCACCTATAAACTTTCATTAAAATGAATTAATTTTAAAAAAATGCACAGTTCAAATCCACCAGATGCTCTGCTGGAAAAGGAGGGGCAATTTCCTCCTGTGCCAGTCAGATCCAATTTGACAGCATACAACAAGGGGGGGGGGGAAGGGAAAAAGTGCAGATAAAACAAAATGAGGATTAAGGACTCTGGAAAAACAAGAAAACAGAAATATGAAGAATGATGTTTCATATGCTGTCAACAAGTTGGAGAGACATATAAGCAGAGTTGAAGAAACAGAACTCAGAAACAGTGAAACAGAAGATAGAATTCTCAGCACTGATCTGCTAAACAAATGGCAGAATTAAAAAAGAATAGGGGTGGGGGTAAAGGAAGTCTAAAAATAAGATGGGACACCATTAAGAGGAATAGCATGTGCATAATAGGAATCCCAGAACAGGCAGAAACAAGTAAAGGCACCTAGAAAGTTTTGGAAGAATTGTTGTTGTTAGGTGCCACTGAGTTGAGTACAACTCATACTGACCCTGTGAAAAAAAGATCTGAATTTTGTTTTTTCCTGTGCCATATTCACTCCTCCTGAAACACAAGAGCCCACTGCAGCAATCCACCTTGCTGAGAGTCTTCCTCTGCCAGCCCTTCACCTTTCCTAGCATCAAGTTCCTCTCCAATAAATAGCCTCTTCTGACAAAATGCCCAAAATATTTAAGGTAAAGCCTCATCATTCTCCATCCATCATAATACTGCTTATTGTTCCACTGGCAAGAATTGCTGTTTTCTTGACATTGAGATGCAATCCATACCAAAGGCTATATTCCTTGATCTTCTGCAACAAGTGCTTGAAGTCCTTCTCACTTTCAGCAAGCAAGCATATATTATCTGCATAATGCAGTTTATTGATAAGTGTATCTCCAATCTTTATTCCATACTCATCTTCATATAGTTCAGCTTCTCAAATAATTTACTCAGCACACAGATTAAATAGGTATGGAGAGAGAATACAACCCTGACACACTCCCTTCTTAATTATAAACCAATGTAATGTTCCCCTGCCCTCTTCACACAACAGCCTTCTGGTTCAGGTATAGGTTTCTCCTGAGTTCACTCTGCATGTGTCAAGCTGAGAGAATAGAAAGACAAATGTAAGCCTTGAGTCACAATACTGAAAGATGTTATGGGCAATATATTGAATGACCCAGAACGTATCAAAAGAATATGGAAGGAAAACACAGAATCACTATGCCAGAAAGAATTAATTGACACCAAAAAATTTCAGAAAGTATCATATGAATGAACAGGAGCCAATGGTAAAGAAGAGGAAGTGGGAGCTGCATGAGAGGCATTGGCAAAAAATAAGGCCCCAGGAATCAATGTGATATCAATTGACTTGATTCAATTATTAGATGCAGCCTTGGGTGTGCTTTTCAGTCTATATCAGAAAATTTGTAAGATAGTTGTGTGGCAAATGGATTTGGAAGAGATCCATATTTATTCCCATTCTCAAAAAAAGGTGATCCAACTGAATGTATGGAAGATTTACTAGAAGGAAAAGTTCCAGGCATAATGAAGAGTGAGAGACTAAATAGTAAAAGAAGCTGAGCAAATTCCATATAGAATAGACTCCACAAGAAAAACACCAAGGTATATCATATTGAAATTTTCTAGAACCAAAGATAACGAGATAATTGAAAGCAGTTCGGGGAGAAACTAACAATACTATAAGGAAGAGCAAATAAGGTTAAGTGCCAGTTTCTCAGGAGAAACATTGCAAGCAAGAAGACAGTGGAACGGCATTTACCAAACACTCAAAGAATACAACTGTTAACCAAGAATACTGTACCCAGCAAGACTGTCTATCAAATATGAAGAGAGATCAAGATATTGTTAGAAAAGCAGAACTTAAGGGAGTTTGTAAAAAACAAGACGTGTTGTTGGAAATACTGAGGGAAATCCTTCTTACAGAAATACCACAGAAAGCAGGATGGACCAATGTAACCTGCAACAACACAAATAAAATTCTCAAAATGACAACAATAAAACCTTTCCTTTCAGTAATTATATTGAATGTGGTTCATTTAAAGACACCAGTGAAGACAAAAGGAGTAGCAGATTGTATTAAAAAACAAACTTGTCTACATGAGACGCACCTGAAAAGTAAAGATAAAGAAAGACTAAAAATAAAAGGGTGGAACAAAATATAAGCAAATGGCAACCAGAAAAAAAAAGCATGAGTAGTGATCTTATTCTCTGATAAAATAGATTTAAGCATAAAACCCATCAAAAATGACAAAGAATGCTTAAATGGTCAATAGAACAAGAGGACATAACCATAATAAATATCTATGCACCAAATGATAGAGCTGAAAAATATACAAAGCAAATGTTAACAGAACTGAAAAAAGACACTGCACCCCAGTAGTAGTAGGAGACTTTAATTACACCACTCTCAAGAAATAATAGAACTACCAGAAATAACTAACAAAGGAAAAGAAAGAAAAAATACAAATAATCTGAATTAGATATGAAAGGGGCAATGTCACAACAGAATCAACTGAAATAAAAAGGTTAACAATGAAATATTATGAAAAACTATATTCATCCAAATATAAAAACCTAAAGGAAATGGTAGAAACTCACAACCTACTTAAGTTGACACAGATCAAAATAGGACATCTGAACAGACCCATTACAAAAGACGAAATTAAACAGGAAATAAAACAACTATTTAAAAAAACCCACAAAAAAACAACCCTGGACCAAATGGTTTTACTAGTGAATTCTATAAAACATTCAGAGAAGACCTGTCACCAATTCTACGTTAAGTATTTCAGAAGATAGAAAAAAAAAAAAAAGAAGGAATTCTTCAGACTCATTCTATGAAGTAAACATATCCTTGATTCCAAAGTCAGGTAAAGATATCACCCAAACAGAAAACTATAGGCCAATATCTCTCGTGAATATAGATGCAAAAATCCTCAAGAAAATGCTGGCCAATAGAATTCAACAATTGTTTTGCTGTTATGTGCTATTGAGGCTCCTGCTATTCATAATGACCCTACATATAAGGGCTCTGAAAACTTCTTGAAACTGAGCCAACCTTATTGTCTATGACACAACCACTCACTGTCATTACCCTAGTCACTGAGTCAATCCATCTCATCCAGGGTCTTCCTTTCTTGTGCTGTCCCTCCACCCTCCCAAGTATGATGTCCCTCTCCAAGGTCTAGTCTCTCTTTGGAACATGCAAAAATTATGTCAGATGAAGCGTCAGAATCCTTGTTTCCAAAAAAGCAGCTTAGTTTCACCCTCTCTAAGATGAACCTGTTTGTCTTCCTTGAGGTCCATGGTATATTCAATATCCTTCTCGAGCACCACAGCTCAAAGGCATCAATTCTTCTTCTATCATCCCTAGTCATTATCCAGCTTTCTGATGCCAATAGTACATTACAAAAATAATAATTTATTATAACCAAGTTGGACTCATAACAGGTATGCAAGGATTACTCAACATAAGAAAAACAATCATGTAATTCATCACATTAACAAAGCAAAGAACAAGAACCACATGATCCTATCAATTGATG